CCGCGTTGTGTCCCACTAGCAAAGTCCTAAGGGACGTAGCACCATGACGTAGAATTAATAGTTACCTAATGTAACTTAAGTTCTACGAATAGGTGCATAGTCCCTTAGCTACGAACCCATCAGGCCAGCCCGGCTTGGCAGAGTTCAAGAGGGGGTGCGGCCTTGTGCAGGGGCATTTATAGAGGAGGGTGGCTGGTGATTGGAGCAAATTATTTTGATCTCTCTGGCGTGTGACCTGGGGGTCACGAGTGATATCCCACTAGCGAAGTCCTAAGGGACTACGTACCTATTCGTATAACTTAAGTTACATTAGGTAACTATTAATTGCGCACGGTCAGTAGGCCGTTGTGCACAACATCCCGGGTCCAGCCCACACCTGGACCCACAGAAAAAGGGCAGGCAGCTGAGCCAGTCGCAGCCGAGGAAACGCGGCCCGTAACACCCCTAGGCTACAGAAAGGCACTGCAATTAATGCAAAGGCATGAAATTCTTAGAAAGTCTGAAGGACGCTACCAGTACTGTCAGGAGGGTGGACACTGGGAGGCGGCAGTCTGCGTGGCGTAGACAGGCAGGCTCTGCTGGTGGCCATACAGAGCCACACCACCACATTTATATGAAGGGTAATTGTTTTATGATCTGTAAGGACTGCTGGTTTTATCCACATCGTCTTTAAACTCATCAGATATTAGCCAGAAATCTATTCAAGATAGAAGTGATTTATCTTTGATGCTCCATGTAAATAGAATGTTTGTCTCCAGATGTCTACCAGGTTTAAATTATTGCAAACGTTATCCAATACGTCATTGTTTTTTTCTTTCCGTGAAGGCCATCTGTCAATGTTGTCGTCATGAACCATGTTGAAATCCCCTCCCCGTATTACTGTTGTTGAAAAGATTATATAGAAAATATTTTAGTGTGATTCAAGTCCATGACTTTCTTTTCAAAATAAAAAGCTGCCCCGCTCCCATTGGAAAAAGAGAAATTCGGCTCTATATGTAATCCCCGTTGCCTGCTGCTGCTACAGTCACAAGATGGCCGCCGTAGTGTCCATGGTGACAACATCCCTCTAGATTCACATCAGTGCGCATGCCCCCCTTAAGTTTCGTACGAGAAGCTCCAGAAACAATAAGGGATTCTACACGAGCCACAAGCACGAATGGAGTAACAGGAGAGAGCTAACCCTGAGAACTAAACATCCTACCTTCAGAGACTAACCTACTACTGTTTTAACAGCAGGAGGATTATACACTAGAGGCTACGGAAGCTAACGCGGGCGAGAAGAGCTAACAAGAGCTAACAAGAGCTAACTCAGTGGAACATGGCTGAAGTGAAACTGGAGGAAAACTCTGAACTCATGGACATAAAGGAGGAGACACAGGACTTTGTGGAGGAAAACTCTGAACTTAGAGACATAAAGGAGGAAAACTCTGAATTTAGAGACATAAAGGAGGAGACACAGGACTTTGTGGAGGAAAACTCTGAATTTAGAGACATAAAGGAGGAGACACAGGACTTTGTGGAGGAAAACTCTGAATTTAGAGACATAAAGGAGGAGACACAGGACTTTGTGGATGAAAACTCTGAACTTAGAGACATAAAGGAGGAGACACAGGACTCTGTGTAAGACACATTTATGCTCACATAAACACTCACTACTGTCTCCTTTACCGTTAGATCCTCACCTTCTCTGAGCCCTTTGTGGTTGAGATTCTATATATACAGATATATATATATATATTATATATTAGGTAGGGGTGTAACGATACATCTATTTAATCGATATATCGATGTGTCTCCCCTGTGATCCACTACATCGATCGGCGCTCAGACGGTATATATTGCGGTATAATTTGGTGTGTGGATTTCAATATAGGTCTAGCAGGTTATTGAATGAAATAGTCAAGATTGTTATTTATTTAAACGTATTGTGCAAAACTGCAACTATACAGAACATTATAAAACTTTAAAGGACAACTCGCCCTCAAATCCACTTTTTAGCTGATAAACGGTATAAATTAGTGTCCAATAGTGTTGTCTACATATCCTGGTCATAATTTTGTCACTTTGGTGCAAATTAGTTGAAAGTTAAACTTTCTGCCTAAAACCGCCTGTGAGGCGCCATCTGCTGGCGACCTGTATTACTACATTTGAATTTTGAATCTGGCGCCAACACTGGCGCGGCAGCAAGACCTGACGTCAGCTGCCCCCCGCCCAGAGCAATGTAAACGGCCCAGTCTCGTTCACGCCCCCTTTAGTCCTCAAGGCTACGCCCATTTAGAGGAAGATTTGAACAAGAAATGTGAGTAACGTATGCTCTGAGGAGCGGGGGTGAGAACCTCTTTAACTTCCAAGCAGCATTGCTGGGTTTCGACCACGTAACCAAAAGGGGGCGGGACATGTGTCCGTAGGACAGGAAGTATTTTTCTCCTATTAAATAGAAAGGACAATGTTGGAAAACGCAGACATAGGAGCTTTTTGTGGCTTAGTATCACTCTTATTATGAGTGAAAACTATTTTAATGCAGCGTACGCTTTGTAGTGTTTGAATGAGTCAATTTTTTTCAACAATGAGAAAGATTAAGGCTGTTATAGTGACGACAGTGGAGTCACTCTGGGATAACCAAAAGTACGGAGCTATTAGCTTAACTCCGTAGCGTTAAGCTTAATATTGTTAAGCTAACAGCAGTGAGTGAGCTAACAGCGGGGGCTGCAATTAGAAAATGTATTTAACAGTTCTTTCTTTCTGTTGCCTCCGCTACTACAACCGTAAACCACACAAAATATTGCATTGTATCTATGAAAGTCAGCGAAGTAAAGACTGGACTGCCAGCTGTGTCTGCGGCCGCAGATGCTACGCAAGCTAATGCTAGCGCATTTCTCCCGTTCCTTATTGGGCATTTTCCTAAAAAATGACACCCGTTAGAGAAACATTTTTTAGCAAAGTAGAGCCGCCACAGGTTCCCCACTTGATATGAGCAGTTGCCACAACTGTCCACGCCACAGAAAAAGAGCATTTTAACTCGGAATCAGTGAATGTTTACATCGGGCCTCATTCACGAACGGTTCTTAGGAACAGATTTGTACGTAAATCCTACTTACGAGGTTTTTACGAAGAAAGTGACATTCACAAATTTTTCTCGTAACCAGAATTTATCTTGGGCAAGTACAAATCCTACGAGTCCTCAGGAGCACTCGTACGCATTCAGTGCCGACATGTTCACACGCCGGGGTTGTCCTCTTTGGTGACGTTGAATAAAAATACAACATTCCAGTGATATGTCCGTCATATCGATGTATGTATTTATTTATTTGTAGTAATCTTTATTAGTAATCTTTATTTATATACCGCCTTTTTCACTGCAGATCTGGCCTACTTTTTAATTCATTTTGAAATGAAATGTGCCAACACTTTATCAAATACATTGGAAATCTTGCCGTGTATTAGTGACCCCTTCCTATTTATAGGGGGCATTTCTTTATCCACGGGCCACAGAACAACGGCATATATACTGCTGCTGCAGGAGGTTACTGGGTCCGCGCTGAGTCTCTGCGCTGGTCTCTCCTATGGATCTATACGGGTCTGCACTGGTCTCTCCCATGGATCTATACGGGTCTGCACTGGTCTCTCCCATGGATCTATACGGGTCTGCACTGGTCTCTCCCATGGATCTATACGGGTCTGCACTGGTCTCTCTCCATACGGGTCCGTGCTGCATGCTCCTGGATCCATACGGGTCCGCGCTGGTCTCTCAAGTCTGGTCTATGCGGTCTCTCTTCGGTCCGCGCTGGTCTCTGCGCACCGGTCTCTCCAGTCAGGTCACTCCAGTCTATGCGGTCTCTCCTATAGGTCCGCGCTGGTTTCTGTGTGCTGGTCACTCCAGTCTCTCCTCGGGTCTGCATTGGTCTCAGCGCTGGTCCGCGCTGGATCTCCTCCCAGGGTCCAAAATATTTTGAGATTAATCTCAAAACATTTTGAGATTCATCTTTAAAATAATACATAATAAATCAAAATCTCAATCATATTCTTAGATTAATCTCATAATTTTGCTAGTTCGACTTTATTATCATAATATTTCGACTTTTAAGTCAACATTTTATAACTTTATTCTCAGTCTGGCAAAAGAAGAAAAAAGGGTGACTCTTTTGCTCCGTGTAACTCTTTGCTTTAGGCCTGTTGCTGTTTCCTCTGGCGTTTGCACACGGCCCTGCAGTCCCTTATATGGGCATTAGTGGGCGGTTACCTATGCTAAGTACCTATGCTAATGAAGCACCTGGCACGCGCGCTCTACTTACGAGGAAATGAGATTCATCAATCTGAGAGAACAGCTGCGAACAATTCAGCGGCTTACGAGTGCGTTGATGAATCCCACGTAGGGACTTTTTAGAAATCTACTTAAGGACAACTTGAGGAGAAATTTGAGAAGTTTCTTACAAAGTTATTCATGAATGAGGCCCATTGTTCTTAGTGGGGAAATGTACTTCCTGTCCCTCGGAGCACTTTTGTCTTCTTCTTCTTGTTGCAGTATTATTGGCGGGTGGCACTCAACTTTAAAGGTGCATTTCCGCCACCTACTGTACTGGAGTGTGAACCAAAGTTACTCTACTAACGTGTGTGTGCGTGCGTATCTATACACATACGCACACACACACACACACACTTATATATACACATATATCTATACCAGTGGTTTCGCTAGAGATCATTTCAGCCCGTCATAATGAAGGACAGGGTCCAAAAAAATCCGTCATGAGCTATTTTTATCCGTCATTTTATTTTCACGTTTGAAATACCCTATAGGCTATTAATTAAACAATTGTATAAACAAAAACAGGCTTTATAACGTGCTTTATTAGCTGTTCGTTTACAAATGTACAATACATTTAATTTGTGAATATATAAAGTTGCATAAAAATCACAAAACAATCGACAACTCTGCGTAACATTTAACCTGCATTAACATGTGGAACAAACACGTACAGGAGTTTGCCTGAATGTGGTTATTAAACCTTCTTTCGCGGCTTTGTGGACTTAAACTGAGCACTCGCCTGTTCATAATTGAATGTGTGCAGGGCTGGCGACACCGAGGCGATTGTCATTAGAGTTTGTGTTTTTGTCTCGGTCAGACGGCTTCGAAGTGCAGTTTTGATTTTATTTTGGAGACTGAAGCCGCGCTCAGCAGCCACACTTGACACAGGAATAACAAGCGCTACTTCAGCCAGAGTTTTGTAGTCTGGGAACATCTCCGCGTATGTGTTGATGAGAAGCTTACAGGAGTCCTTAAATGGCGGGTTACCTGAACCTGCAAGCACACATTTCACGGAGCGAAAGTCCCGTACCATCCTTTCCTTTTCAACGAGTGAGACCGCTGCGTTTGGGTGCGCGCCATAAAAGTCAGCAAGGCGCTCGACAGCATCCAAGCCGTACTCCTGCAGCGCGCTGTTTGTGTTCGGAAAACGAGAGGCGTTGAGGACAGTGTCGAGGTCAGAAATGTGGCTCACATCCCCAGAAGGGAATCTCTTTTTAATTGACTTCATAATCTCACCAATATACTGCGCTCGTAAGGCGGAGAAGCCGTGTTCATCCACGTGAGTGAGCCGATGACCACAGAAGATGCCCTCTCGAAAGCCCTCAACAAACTTCTTCTCCACATCCCCGAGGCCTTTTTCGAAGTCATCCAGATTGGCGAGGGTCATGCTCACAATGGGCTGAATAGAGGATATGTTTACGTCCTCTTTTTGAAACGTGAGATTCATTCGGTTTACAGTAGCCAAGACATCAGCAAGCAGGTGAGTTAATGCAGGGAATGCATGCTTCAGGAGTTGTTTGTGTAAACCTTTTGCAATCGGGCAACCATTCGCAGCTTCTTTTTCCAACTCCATGACCACACATGCCCAGTTGGCACGAATGCCTTTCACCGCTCTCTCCAGGGACAGCCAACGCGTAGCGCATGGTTGTTTTAAACTCAGCGCGTCACCTTCATTCATTTCCAGTTGTAGTTGGTGAAGTCTATGTGTGCGTATAGGAGAGTTTTTGTAGTAAGTGTACACGTTGTTCAGAGTTGTCACATAGGCACTGACTTGACGCACGGCTTTGGATGCGTCACGGGCTGCCAGTGCTGTTCTGTGCGTACCACAGTGTATGTTCAGGAGATAAGGGCAGTCATCTTGGCGTAACTGTTGAGCAACTCCAGCTTTTCGACCCACCATCACATTCGCCCCATCACTTCCCAGTCCCACTACGCGATCCAGAGCCACACCACGACCCGATAGAACTTCTTTAATTTTGGCTGTGATGCACCCTGCGGTGCCAGAGGACATGGCATAATTTCCAAGGAAATTAGTTTCAGGCTCTCCCTTTAGTTGGTATGTTAGATAGATTATCAGCATTTTGTCCACTGTGATATTCGTGGTTTCATCCAGTATTATGCCAACAAATCTGCTGTCAGCGATGCGGTCATTAACAGTGTTGTTTATGGTCTGAGCTATTGCATCCTCCATTTCGTTCACACTTTGGTTGTGAGTGTACACGTGTGCAGCGTTTAAGTTTGGGCAGCCAGTGGACTGTAATAGTTCTATTATTTTTGGGTAAAGGTGGCTTGGTGTATTGGTGTTCGCCATGTGAAGTACAACTTTCAGTTGGGTTTTCAGAGCCTCGTTACAAGCTGCCTGTGACTGCGACACATGCTTCTCCATAGCTACACTTTGGTTCAAAATACGAGATGCTTCCTTATGGCTTAAGCTTTTCTTGTGGTCATTTAATGATGATTTTTGAAAAGTGGGACAACCACGGACAAAGCCGTTGCTCATTTTAGCTTCTTGGCAAATTTGACAATACATTTTTCCATCTTTCATGGTTAGCCATGTGAACTCTTGCTCCCACTGTGACCGATACTCCCTTCGGGTTTCCTTGGCGCCTCGGTCCGGTGGACGAGGGGGTGAAACCGACGGATGTTGAATGGTGTCTTCATTGTCCTCCTCAAATGAAGGGGGTCTTTTTTGTCCCCTGCTGTCATTATTTTGAGCTGAAGCAGATCGCTGAAAAAAATCTTTTAGGCTCAACTGATTTGACATTTTTGCTAATGACTGCTATCTGTCAAATATGACATGTGACAGCCTGTATCATATAAACGGCGCTGGCGCCATCTAGTGGAGAGGACGGTCAACTACGACTCGCAATGTAAAATTATAACTTAATTTTCAATCCTTCAAAATGACGGACGGCCTTCCAAATTTTACGTCAGAAAAAAAAAAATCCGTCAATGACGGAGAATTTTCAGTTAATGTAACCTGATCTATACACACATACACCTACCCATATACATGCATATATCTACCTACTCACACGTGCACCTATGAACTACACTCTCCCTATAAGTCCTGCATCCTTTAAATATGCTATGATCTTTTTCACCTTCACTTTTGTTAAAATATTTTTCATTGTGACCTCCAACCCTTGCTCTTGAATATCTTGTTTTATCGTTTGCCTGAACCTCTCATACCTATAGCACTTTTGTCTCGTGCAACCCAGCAATTTGCTGACATAATGACCTACCGCAATATAACAACAATCTCTACCGTTGGCCAAATTTATATCGCTTATACCGTTTATATCGCCCAGCCCTACTTGTTATGATGTACTTTTGAACAAGAAAAGTCACGGAGCTCAGTTGGCGCTCCAGTATAATTGGTCTGTCTGAAACTCATCCTCCAGTGAGGAAGGTTCCACGGTGGAAAAAAACACATGCGATTAAAATGCCTCAATTTCATTAACGCACTAATTTTTGTGGCTTTAATTGGTAATTAACGAGCTAAAGTCCCGGCCCTAATATATATGTATGTATCAATCAAAGTTTATTTGTAGAGCGCCTTTCATACACAGGGCAACACAAAGCACTTCACAATCCACATCACCAAGGCACATAAAACAAACACCAGAATCACAATTAGTGCAGCTTTAATGTTTTAACTGACTTTGGGATTTCGAAGCAGCGGTTTTGCTGGCCTCGCTCTTTTTCCTCCCCTCCCCGCACCCATGAAACTATTAACCTGTAATAGTTCGGCACGGTGGCTGAGTGGATAGCACTCTCGCCTCTCAGCAAGAAGGTCCTGGGTTCGAATCCCGGTCGGACCAGGGCCTGTCTGAGTGGAGTTTGCATGTTCTCCCCGTGTCTGCGTAGGTTTCCTCCGGGTACTCCGGTTTCCCCTACCACTAAAAATATGTCCAATAGGCATGTCTGGCATGCGCCTCCTGTACTGGCGACCCCGCTCCCATTTCTGTGTGGAGTGAGAGACAAATGCCCAAAAATAATAACAATTGTAAACCGCTTTGAGACTCAGATCTGCAGTGAAAAGGCGGTATATAAATAAAGATTACTTACTACTACTACTAGTTCGCTGCCGAGCCTTTAATTGTGGCTTGTATTTTAAGATAAGATAAGATAGACTTTATTGATCTCACACAGGATACATTTATTTATTTGAGAAATAAAGGAGGAACATATTAACACATATTAAATAACAGAAAACGGACAATCATTAGTATTAAATGAATAGGTAACCCAACTACATAATGTTATTTTTGACAGCACTGCAAAAAGGAAAAGGCCCAATGTGAAGCTGCAGTGAGTGTGAAGTGGAGATGGAGCTAATGTACAGATATCATTCATAAACATTGTCTTATAACCAAAGTAGCAAAGACAGCTGTAAGGGACATCAATTTATTTACATGGGAATATATTCTCAATACAATGAGTTAACAAGAGTTTGGGAATAAAGTGGCACTAACTGTGTGGGAAAAAAACATTTTTAAAATCCTCTTTCCGCTCTTACAGGGTATGCAAAAATAATAATAAAAAATGGCCTGTTGCGTGTTCAGCTTGATTTGTTCACAACATTTCACTTTTGTGCACAAATAACATACATTGTTAATGCATGGAGAAAATGTGGTTGGCAGTAGCTCAGTTGGTAGAGCGTTGGCCTTTGAGCCAGAAGGTCGTGGGTTCAAGCCCCGCTCAAGACTTTCACCATCGACTCCCACTGACTACTGTTGTTGTGTCCTTGGGCAAGACACTTAACCTCTGGGAACACGGGCGGCTGCGGCTGTAAAGTGCCAAACTGCCGTTGTGTCCTTAGGCAAGACACTTCACCCCCATTGCCTAGAATGAGTCTGGTGTGTGGTCGGAGGGGCCGATGGCGCATACTGGTTGCCTTGCTTCTGTCAGTGTGCCCCAGGGCAGCTGTGGCTACAGTAGTAGTTTATCACCACCGTGTTTGGAGTGAAAGAATAATGACACATGTGAAGCGTCTTTGAGTGTCCAAAAAAGCGCTATATAAAACCGATTTATTATTATTATTATTCAAGCTTTAAATTCAAGAGTTTTGGTTGTGCTTCGGGAGGAGAAACGGGAGAAACACGGGAGATGGTTCTGTCTGCGAATTTATGGTGGCTGCGCGTCTATGGCTCTGTCTGCAAGTCTATGGCTTTGTCCACAAGTCCATGGTTCTGTCTGTGCGTCTATGGTGACTGCGCGTCTATGGTTCTGTCCGCGTTTATAGTGCTGCGCGTCTATGGTTCTGTCCGCGCATTTATGGTGGCTGCGCATATATGGTTCTGTCCGCACGTTTATTGTGGCTGCGCGTCAATGGTTCTGTCCACGTCGATGATTCTGTCCAGGCGTCTATGGTCCGTGCTCGGTATCATGTTATGGAGCTGTTGTCAAAGCGGCTGCCAGTAAAAAGCAGCCACAGCTGCCCTGGGGTCAGAGCGAAAGGTGTAAATCCTGTTCAGAAATGGCATAATTCCTTTTCAAAAACGTCTCAATCGCTTTCACTCGCAACAGTGCTCCTCCCTCCCTCTTACATTGTTGGTCGCATCCAATTTTTAAGTTTCTCGCCACAATGCTCCCGCTACCTGTTACATCAAGTGATGGCATCCAATTCCGACGTTTCAAAGTACTTAGCTATCTGCTGCCACCTACTGAAATGAAAAAGTATTATGTGGTTACTGTGGTTCAAAACAAGGCAGCGCTCGCCAGCGGTGAATGCATTTATTTTTAGACAAAGTAGGAGAGTTTCTCAAAATATTTTTTGCTCCATGGAAATATATTCATGACTACTTTGTTGTGTTGGCAGATGTACAAAGCTCACCTGTGATCAGTGTGGAAAGACCTGGAGCTATGCTTCTGCACTAAAGATCCACTACAGAACTCACACTGGAGAAAAACCGTACAAGTGTGATCTGTGTGGAACAAGTTTTTCTACGAAAAGAAATCTCAGGAGCCACAGCAGAATCCACACAGGAGAAAAGCCCTTCAACTGTGACTTCTGCGGTCAGAGTTTTAGAGAAAAGAGAACTCTGAAAGATCATCAGAGCATCCACACAGGAGAGAACCCATTTGAGTGTGACAAGTGTGGGAAAACATTTAGGAGAAAAAACAGCCTCACACTACATCAGCAGATCCATGCAGTAGAGAGGCCTCACCAATGTGACCAATGTGAAAAGTCGTTTAGATATTTAATTCACCTAACTGATCACTACAGAACCCACACTGGAGAAAAGCCATTTGTCTGTGGAGATTGTGGGAAGAAGTTTTCTCAGTTTACTAACTACAAAACACATGAGAGAATTCATACTGGAGAAAAGCCATTTCCATGTGACCACTGCAGTAAAACTTTTAGAACTTCATCACAACGGT